AATAATAACTAGAAAAGAAACTCGTTGCGAGCAACGAGAGGTCTTCCGTCCGATTCTGAAAAAAACCCCGCAAAATCGAGCTGAAAAAGTGATACAACTTTTTATGGAAACAAAGGGAATTGAACCTGGGTCGCCAGCATGAAAATCCAAAGCGCTTACTATTATGCTATTGGGACAACAGCTCTAAATCTACTTGTATGTACTTCTGAAACAGTACATCTGTCTTAGAATAATGAAAGGTGGGTTACTATTCAAAATTTAGCGCCAAACGCCTCGAGTGAATCTTCGCGCCTTTTCTTTGGAATGTCCCATTAAATAGGTGTGATAGCTTCAATGGAAATAAAAAAGAACTTTCATGAAAAGGTTGAAATGTTTCGCCGAAAAAATGTGTCGCCCTAAGACGGTAAAGGAATCAGATACCATTTATGTTCAATAACTTAAATCATATCTTTGAGACAAGAATATTAATATAAACTCAATTCTTCAAAAAAATCTTTTTCTTATGTTTGTCTTTCCTATTAGTTTAATATGACTCAAGTGTGCATGAGCAACACAGTGGATACGTTTAATACTTACTATATATACAACAATATTGTTTCTTAAAACTATTATTTGTAGACAAATGTATATTATTTGTAGCTATGATTTAAGATCTGTTTTTTCCGCAAAACAAATGATAGTAGGTATGTATTTCATTTGCACATTTAGTCTTTTCTTTTTCTACTTTGAGAACCAGCCGAAACCAATTATAGAAGACGTTTGAGACGACCATGGATTTAAACTTAGTTTGACACAGAATTGCAACGTAACTACATCGTGACAATCCCCGTATTCCTTTACATTTTATTTATCCTTATTTACTTTCGTTCAAGCAAACGCTTGGCTGCCTCTGAAAACCCCTATTGCGAAATGTCGGAGTTGACATAGACAGCCGCCATATTGGGCCCGCTTCAGATTTTTAAATGCTAATATCTAGAGTTTGGATTTATCAATGTTCAAACAAATTATATAGTAAGCATTGTAAGAAAGGTCTCTATTAACATTCCAAAAATGAATGAAAAATATTGAAAAATAAAAAAGTTAGAAAATATGGACTTTTTAAATTCGCTTCCGCTAGCGACCGGAAGTACTGACGACACACGAAAAGGTGATTTCACATATCTAAAAGTCATCATCTATCATCTTTTACAAGTCTCCAGTTAATATCTTAGACCATTTTCGTAAAAAAGGGGGACAAAAATCCATTTCAAAATCAGAAAACTGTCAATAACTTGGAACCAAAGGTGGGCATTCCAAATTTTCCTTCTGATGAACAAAGTTCATATAATGACGCATAATTCCTCAAAGTTTCATTGAAAACCACCGAATAGTTTTCGAGAAATCGCCTGCACAAAATTTTGGGGAAAAAAATAAGAATAATAATAATAATAATAATAAGAAACAGTAGAATCACTAGAAGGTCTTCCGCTGAAGACGGAAGACCTTAATAAGAAACAGTAGAATCACTAGAAGGTCTTCCGCTGAAGACGGAAGACCTTAATAATAAGAAACAGTAGAATAACTATAAGGTCTTCCGTGAAGACGGAAGACCTTAACTAGACTCTTGTTGCCATGGCAACAAAAAAGTCTTCCGTTCCTGTATGATACCGTTTGCATTGATTTTGTATGTAGAGAAACGTGTACATTAGGTAATAATTTTAATATTGTAGAGAAACTAGGTTTTTCCTTTTGGTACTTGCAGTCCTTTGATTTTTACTGCAAAAATGAATGTATCTGTTGTCCTCATATATTATACTGTATGCGTGCAGTTTTTTTTTTAATCAAGAAGCATATTTTAACTATTTTAAATAATGGGTGAGTATAGATCTAGAAAACAATGTCTCAGAACTTACGGTACTTTGATTTTTGCTACAAAAATATCCTTTCAGTCCTTGCGGTACATGTGCTTTGATTTTTATTGGCTGACGAAAATACCTTCCATAGGTTACTTATTGTATACATTGATGTTTATGTGTAGAAAAACATGCCAATTTATACTACATACACATTGTATTAAGAAAAAGATTGGTATGTAAAACAGTCCTCTCAGTACTTAAAGTACTTTGATTTTTATTGCAATTTAAAGTCGTCAACCTAATATATATGGGACTGTATGTATTGATTTTGTATGAAGAGAAACATGTAAACATAACCTTCATGTAATTTTAAAGTAAAAAATGCTCCGTCAGTACTTTCAGTACTTTGATTTTATAAATGCAAAACGAAAGTAGCTGAAATCTACAAAACGCGTGATCTGATTTTAAAACAAATTATATATTTGGCTTCTATGGATCTATCTCTATTATGCCTAGAAATATCTTGAAAAAATATTCAAAAACAAAAAAGTGGAAAATTGACCGAAAAACAAATTCACTTCCGGTGCGGACAGGAAGTACTAGAAACACACGAAAACTACTTTAAAACAAGGACAATGTCATTATTTAAAATTTCTGTAAATTTCACGTCTTAACCTCAACTCGTTCTCAAGAAAAATTCTGGACAAAATGTCATTTAAAAATTGGAAATTCAGCCATAACTTCGGACCGGAAGTGAATTTTTCAAAAAACGGAATTTTATATAAACTTCATATATCAGCCTACTATCATGTGAAAAATTGTCAAAATCTATCCAACCATCTCTTCGTAATCACGCTCACAAAATTTGGGAGGAATAATAATAATAATAAAAAGAAACAATACAAACACTATAAGTCTTCCATTGTGAACGGAAGACTTAATAATAAAAAGAAACAATACAAACACTATAAGTCTTCCGTTGTGAACGGAAGACTTAATAATGATAATAACTAGAGCAAAGCTCGTTGCAAAGCAACGAGTAGGTCTTCCGTCCTGTTTGACTGGAAGTAGCTTTAATTTTTAACAAAAAATAAGAAATAACGCCTAAAAAGGGTTTTAATCATCTAACGCTATGTTGATTAATGCAGAAATAAGCAATTTTTGCTACTTCCAGTTAAACCGGAAGTGACAACGACGGACGGAAAATAAAGTTTTAGGCTTCCAGTGACATATGTTACCCCAAAACTTGTCAAGAATGGCAAAAATACGCGTTTTTCGACTACTTCCAGTTTGGCCGGAAGTGACGACACCGGCGGAAGTGACAACAACGGACAGAAAATTAAGTTTTAGGCTTCCAGTGACATATGTTACCCAAAACTTGTCAAGAATGGCAAAAATACGCGTTTTTAGACTACTTCCGGTTTGGCCGGAAGTGACGACGCCAGACGTATTATTTTGACTACAGTAGATTAATCTTGACATTTTGAACAACTTTGCTTCTTTGAGGTATTACAAATTCTCAATACTTTTTGAGATATAAAGGAAAAACTTTCGGCCCCCCTTGGCCCTTAATTTTAGGGGCCAGCCCTTTTTTCGAGATATCACTTGAAAGATCTTCAAATTCTACACTTCTTTTGTTCTACATGCTTTAACAAAATATTTCTGGATAAAAAGTTATCGTAGAAAAGGTGTTAAAAATTTTGAAATTCTTGATAGGACTGTTTTCGGACCATAGCCAGCATCGGCGCTTCGTACTTCCGGTGGTTGAGATATACCAAATACATATCTCCAAAGATTGCACTATCAGCACTGAAAATTTCCTGCTTCTGCGTTGAGTTCTTTTTGAGAAAACTGCCGGACAAAATGACCCTCTAAAACTCACTAAATAGCTAAAAACTCTGAACCGGAAGTGACGTCATCAAATTAAAAAAAAACGCCTTAAGTTCATATCATTTGTCATCAATGCTGAAAGTTTCATGAAAATCCATCGACGCATTTACGAGAAATCGCGCACAAAATCGGTAAGAATAATAATAATAAGAAAAGTTGAAAAGAAAGAACAGAAAAATAAAAAAAAGAAACAATACAATCACTATAAGTCTTCCATTGTGAACGGAAGACTTAATAATAAGAAACAGAGTAAAAACAATATGTTCCCCAACTTCATTTGGGGAACATAATAACAAGGGACTTTCAAACGCACAAGAAAAATAACATCATATATCTGCTTAGTACGTCATCAGTTTCAGAGAGTGGTGATATGGATTCAGAAAACCACAGCGTGGTGATCCGGAAAGTCGGATCACGACGTCACGTGATTGCGTTAAATCAACAGTAAAATTGAGTGATACACATTAGGTATATAATAAATATTCAGATCAAACATGATAATCTAACTTTTCAGCTTAAACCTTAATTTTTAAAAGTGATTTTAGAGTGTGTTGTGATGAAAATCAAACATGTCCTATGTTCCATATTGACAAGTTAAGTTGATGTCATTGACGTCACCTCCAAATTCTACAGGCATATGTCTTAACCAATCCATGTCCTTTGCGACCTCTTAGCGCTAGTGGATTTCCAATGTATGGAAGTCGTGCACAGATACCAGCTCCTCTAAGTCTCTTGCGAACAATTTGTGCACTTTATGCTGATTTTAGCAGTTTGCACAGCAGTTCTGATTTGATTGCGCAGGTGCTGAAGAAGGATATGATGGTCGTGTCTGGGTGTGGTTTGTGGAGACATGCATTTAACTACTGCAAAGCGGAATGATGTACACCAAATGCAGTTGCAACTTCCTATTGTGTAGCTACGGTTAGTATCATTGTTAGAACCTTGTTGCGTACATCTTTGTTTAGGCACGGCATTGCAGCTTCAACATTGCAATCAAAACATAAATATGGGTTTAATAGGAGTGTTTATTGTTTCTCTAAATCCAAAATTTCATCAAAAATAGACCCCCAATTTACAAGAAATCATGGAAAACACTATTTTCATAAACATGATTAATCAAGGGAAATAATTCAACAACTGGGGATTAAAAGCCCATGTTGTACTTTAAATAGGTCACAGGTATCCTATGATAAAAAAAAAGTTCTTCCATATACGAGGGTTGTTCGATATTTATTGTGTATTGTATGATATCTCAAAAGCATTCGATTCAAATAGTCAAATGGACATTACATCCCTGAATTCAAAGTATTCTCCGTGATTTGAAATACACAATTTTAATCTCTGAATCCATTTCTGAAATGCGTCACGGTACGCTGATTTAGGTATACCTCTGAGGCACTGACTGATGGCTGAGCCAAGGGCCTGTCGGGACTTGTATCGACGACCAGATAAGAACTTTTTAAGTTTTGGAAAAAGGAAAAAGTCGCATGGTGCTAGATCCAGAGAGTATGGTGGGTGTGGCAAGACGGTAACCTTCTCAGACTTCAAAAATTGCTTCACAAGCTCAGATGTATGTGATGGAGCATTATCATGAAGAAGGCGAACATGCCTAAATCCCGACACAGGACGTCGTTTCTGATAATATTTCTTTAGCTTTTTCAGTACAACATCTCGGTAATACCGACCTGTGACACTTTTGCCCTTCGGCACCGGAATTTGTACGGCTAAACCATCACAAGAGAAGAATATGCAGTAAAGGACCTTCTTTGTGCTCATTGTCCTTTTGGCAACTACAGGCCTTCTACCGTGTTTGGTTAGCCATAATTTGTTCCCAACTTTTCTTACTGGTTCGAAATAGTGAACCCATGTTTCGTCACCAGTAATTATGTTTGCAAATTGTCTTTGATTGAAGTTTGGAAACATTTTTAGCAGTCGCTTAGCGGTTTGTATTCGTATCTTTTTTTCGTCATCTGTCAATATATGGGGTATCCATCTGGCAAAAATCTTTCGTACTTTCAAAATACGCTTCAAAATGAAATGCACCCGCGATAGCGATATGCCAATAGCTTTGGCAATATCACGAATCGTGTACCTGCCATCACATTCAATTATTTCCTTGACTTTTGAGACATTTGTCTTGCCTGATACAGTCACAGGTTGACTCGATTTTGCTGCATCTTTGACGGACTCTGTGCCAGTCAAAAATTTCTGTCTCCACCTACGAACTGTCTCATAAGATACCTTATCAGACCCATAAACTTCCCCCAATTCAGTAAAAATCTGTTTTACCGAATTACCGAGTTTTGTGCGAACTTTTATATAAGCTCTAATTTCTTCAATATTCTCAACCTGTTTCCCAACCATTTTTACAACAGTGGTCAACGACTGGCTCTATTGAAATGACGATTATTTTATAACCATGTGTAGTTGAAGGCTCATGTTTATACTGTTGGCAAGGTATTGAATAGAGTTATCCAGGCGTATAAATATCAACAAAATTGTGCAAGGAGTTATCGCGCTGTGGTACAATACACAATACATATCAAACAACCCTCGTAATTTTTCAATTTTTTTTTTTTATGAGTAAAACAATATGCATTTCTTTATTTGTTGAGCAAAACTACCCATTGAAAGGTCTTATCACAATGAATACACATTGTGAAGTTTAAAAGTCCTCTAGCATCACGACTGTTCAAAAGTTATGGCCTAGGTTAATTTAAAAAGCCTGGTAATTTTTGGTTAAAGTGGGTCAAACTCCAAGATCAAGAGGTCATATTTGCTGGTATCCAAAAAAAATTTTGTCAAAAGGAATACACATATGAAATATGAATGCCATAGATTCATCCACTCAAAAGAAATGGCAAATTTTAATGTTTTTGTTGATGAATAGACAAAGGGAAACAGACAGAGCAAAAACTATATACCCCTGAATCTTCAATCATGGGGGCATAAAAAGAATATACTAGTATGGTCCATATTTCTTATTCTTACTTAAATATTTTAAAAGAATTACAACAAGAGGACCAGGGGCCATATCACTCACCTGAGCACTGGTCAGGAAAAAAAAATTGAGTGACCATTGTGGCCCCACCCTACTCCTGGGGGGTCATGATTTGAACAAATTTGAATCTACACCACCTGGGGATGCTTTCAAATAAATATGATCAATCATAGCTTTACTGTTCTTAAGAAGATATTTTTTCCTATATATTCTTCTGTAAAACTTTGATCATTGCGGCCCCATCTTACCCAAAGGGGTCATGATTTGGACAAACTTTTTAAAGAATATATTTCTACACCACCTGCAGATGCTTCCATCTAAATATCACTAATAATGGCTTTTCAACTCTTGAGAAGAAAATTTTTGAAGATTTTTCCTATATATTCCTGTGTAAAACTTTGATAGACCATTGTAGCCCCACCCTACCCCTGGGGCTCATGATTTAAACAAACTTGAATCTACACCACTTGAAGGTGCTTTCACATAAATATGACCAATCAGAGTATTACTGTTCTTTAGAAGATTCTTAAAGATTTCCCCTATGTGTTCCTATGTTAAACACTGACCCTTCCCCCAGCATAGCCCCACCCTACCCCTGGGGGTCATGATTTGAACAAATTTGAATTTACACTACCTAAGGATGCTTCCACATGGGTTTCATCTTTTTTCTTGGCCGAGTGGTTCTTAGGAAGAAGATTTTAAACAAGAGGCCCAGGGGCCACGTCGCTCACCAGAGCAATTGGCTAGGAAAACGCACATATCAGATCAGAGCTGAAAGTTTACCGAGGTTGGGGGGGAATGAATTTTAATCCCCCAGGGGGTCATGATTTGAACAGACTAGAATCTACACTATCTGAGGATGATTCCATACAAATATCAATAAGCATGGCTTTGAAGTACTTGAAAAGAAGATTTTAAAAGGTTTCACTCAATATTCCTATGTAAAACTTTGGCCATTTTGGCCCCACCCTACCCCCGGGGGTCATGATTGAACAAACTTGAATCTATACTACCTGAAGATGATTCCACATGAGTTTCATCTTTCCTGGCCCACTGATTCTTGAGAAGAAGATTTTTAAAGATTTTTCCTATATATTCCTATGTAAATCTTTTATCAGCCATTATGGCCCCACCCTATTCCCGTGAGGTCAAGATTTGAACAAACTTGAATCTACACTACCTGAGGATGATTCCACATGAGTTTCATCTTTCCTGTCTCAATGGTTCTTGAGAAGAATATTTGTAAAGATTTTTCCTATACATTCCTATGTAAATTTTGATCGGCCATTTTGGCCCCACCCTACTCCTGGGGGTCATGATTTGAACAAACTTGAATCTACACTACTGAGGATGATTTCTCAGGAGTTTCATCTTTCCTGGCCCAGTGGTTCTTGAGAAGGAGATTTTCAAAGATTTTTCCTATATATTCCTATGTAAAACTTTGATTGGCCATTTTGGCCCACCCTACCCCCGGGGGTCATGATTTGAACAAATTTGAATCTACACTACCTGAGGATGATTCCTTTAATTTTTCTCTAATTCATAATTATCTCCCCTTGGAAAAGGGCATGGCCCTTCATTTGAACAAACTTGAATCCCCTGTACCCAAGGATACTTTGTAGCAAGTTTGGTTGAAATTGGCCCAGTGGTTCTTGAGAAGAAGATGAAAATGTGAAAAGTTTACAACAACAACGACAACGACGACAACGACAGACAGACAATGGACAAATTTTGGTCAGAAAAGCTCACTTCAGCCTTTGGCTCAGGTGAGCTAAAAAGTTATAATTCAAACCTTGCAACTCAATTAGGCTAATATTACAAATAACTGTTCTGCTATCATCAACAAGAGATATATGCACATGTATTAAATATTTTACATGTACCTTGCCTGTGTCAACAACATATTTGATGTTGGGAATAGTCAGCGATGTCTCTGCCACATTAGTGGCTACAACACACAGCCTATAACCTTCTGGTGGTCGTTCAAACACCTATAGTGAAATAAAATTGAAATGTATTTAGTATAAATATTAATATAACAAGAGGTCCATGGGCCTTTTATACAGTTGGGGTCAATTACTTGAAAATGTAATTTTAAACCAGAAGTTTCTGTCGAGACTGCAGCTCTACTGGTTTGTATTTATAATAAAGGAAGAGAAAAGTAGCAGTTGGATCATAAAACTGTAAAAAAGCAATAAATAAAACAAAGATCCTTAATTAAGTCTCTTTTTGTGGCAAGATTGCAATAAGACTACAACTGTAGGAGTAGCTTTTAATAAAATTTTACAGATTTTTCAATTTTAGTTACCATGGCAACATCGTTCATCAAAGTCCAAAACACAAAACTGATAATTATGTATCTCAGTGTAGTCTACTTGCATGCCACATTATATTTTAATCAGACAAAAACTGTATTTGGAGTAGCATTTTGAAAGTATTTCCCAGAAATTTCTATTTTTAGTCACCAAGGCAACACTGTTCATCGAAATCAAAAACCGATAAATAGAATTATGTATCTTTCTGAAATCTACTTGTGTGCCAAGCTATAATGAAATCAGACCGAAATTGTACGAGGAGTAGCATTTCAAAAGTATTTCACAGAAATTTCTATTTTAGTAACCACGGCAACACCATTCATCAAAATCAAAAACCAATCCACAGAATTATGTATCTTAGTGTATTCTACTTTTGTGCCAAGTTATATTGAAATCAGACAAAAACTAAAGGAGAAGTAGCATTTTGAAAAACTGTTTACAGGTAGACGGACAGCAGACGACAGACGCATTACTATTGCATTAGCTCTTTTGGTCTATGACCAGTAGAGCTAAAAACTTTCAAATACATTTGTATTTCTTTTTCAGTTACTTGCAACAATTACAATTACATTGATTTATACAAATGTAATTAGCTACTCTCAATTTAATTCTTTGAAAAATATGTAATAATTACTCAAATAAATACCTATCAATTTTTTTAAAGTAAGTACCTCCAAAATACCCTCCCAAGAGATTTTGCTGAAATTTTTACATAGCACAAAGAATGTGTTTAATAAACATGGAAATATGAACCTCAGACATTGAGGGTTATGTACAGAACCAGGGGGTCAAGATTTCTCTCCCCTTTCCAGTCACTCCAAAAATCATTATACAACAAATATTTTTACTCAAACAAAAATCATTATAAAATATGCATTTAATATTTTTTGAAATTATTTTCAATTTTTTTTTATACTTTTAACTTATTTAATAATGAATTGTTTGAACAGAAATATATTACATATATGGAAATAGTGCTTATAAAACTTTTTACATTCAACAATGAAATTTAAATAATTATTTTCATGCACACAAATTTGATACTTTTTGAAAAAAGATAGTGTTCAAAAGACGACTTTCAGATTTACAAGATATTTCCCTATTTGGGGTCAATCTGAGGTCAACAAGCATAAGACACCGTTTCCTCTCTTTACGAACTCTATGGGGCAATGTCTTACAAATAATATCTTTTTAATATTGTAATGTTTTTTTTACGTTGCCCCATATTATGACAATTTATATAAGAAAAGTGTCAAACTTGTTTAATTAAAAGGTTTGAAAATATTTACAAGTAATTAAGCTACAAAGAAAATAGTGTGAAAAAATAAAGTATATATAAAATTTATTTTTGCCAAAAAAAGAAATCTTTGCATAAATCAGTGGCATAGATAGAGTTCTGTTAAAGTGTTGAAGTTTTTTTGTTTGCTGCAAATTCAATGAAAAGCTGGTTGTCCTCCTTTCCTTATTGAAGAATATCAAATTCATAGTAATTTTTAGGTTCTTTTTTTTTTTTTTTTTTTTTTCGCTTAACAATGTGTTTTCAGGTTAAATTGTCAATTTATTTCTGGTTACCCCCCTTTCAAAAACAATACTATGTCCCTTTTTCCTCACTGTTCATTCCTCACTTTGTTTTACATATTTTGTTTGTGGGTACTCACCTTCACGAGTTTTTCAGTATGACTTTAATTGAGACTGCTGACATTTTTGTTTCCTCAACTTGTTTGTCAATAATTTACCTCATAGGGCTGGGCAAAAATATCGATATTTTGGATTGCAAAACGCACCAAAAAAGACGTAAACAACAAACAAAATGCAATAATTGCATTAGAATTAGGAAATAAATGTCTTCTAAATTGGTATTTGTGACAAATGATAATAAGTTAATCTGTAAATGATTATTTTTTCTAAAGGTGATCTTTACATTTTAAATTTGTATCAGTATAATAAAACAGTTACATGTATAGTATATCATTGAGGGAGTAAGCAAGATTCCAGTTCCCTGTGACCAGGACTATTTCCCAAGGTGCAGCACATTGTAGCTCCACCTTTATAAACACTGAGGGTCCAGGTATGAAGAAACTTGAATCCCCTTCATCAGAGGATACTTTGTAGAATTTTTGTTTGAAATGAACACAGAAAAGCTTTAGAATATTTAGCTTTTAAAACTTAATTATATTCATGGTCATGACTATTGCACCCATAATACCTTAAGTAAGATTGTTTGTAGGTACTCACCTTGACCTGTTTTTCAGTGGACAACAATGAAAACAAAGGGAGGACATACAGTGGTTCTGTACAGACTTCTTTGGAGTGACCCTCCTCTTCAGAATCCTGATTTTATAAAATTAAGATTATTATCATACTGCTATCAATGAAACAAATTTTCACAGAAAAAATAAGAAATGTAGCCTAAAATTCTTGATAGTTCTTTTCTCTTTTCACTTAAATAATGTAAGCAAATTATGTAAACAAGAAGTCTGTCAGCCAATGACCTGAAATAATTCAATTTATTATATAGTCTATTTATAGGCTTATATAATCTATACAAACGCAAACAGTTCATAACACTACATATTCACCGGATTTTAGGTCGTATTCACCGGAGGGTCAATGCGCGTGCAACGGCATTGTGACGTCACAATCAAAATATCAAACAACGTTGTAAACAAGGGTTGCAACGGCCGCAGCGAGCTACGTATCTGAGCATGAAAACACTTATTCAAACCTTTTTCAGGATTATTTTTTAACATTTGGACTTACACATAGCGAAACTCGGAAAGGAAAACACGGACGTTACAAACAGTAATATGGAGATTTTTTTTTAATTTTCAACAATGGAAGATTGCAAATGAAAATGGTGTCGTCATGCAGACTTCAATGTCTTATTCATTCAAATCTGGGCTATATAATAAAACAATTATGGCCTTTTTCGGTTTTGAATATGAGTTGTTACTCAATAGAAAAATATCCATATTGACCTCGGCTTCGCTTCGGTCAATATGGATATTTTTCTGGTGAATAACAAACCATATTCAACACCAAAAGAGTCCATAATTGTATAATAGCCATAAAATTTCAAAAGTAAGACACTATGACCTACTTTTTTGGTTTACATCATCCCAAGACCCAAGATGCATCAACTGACAAAGTTTTGATGATTCTAAACCTATTATTTAATAAAACTTTGACCTGGTCATTCATCTGGAAAATGTAAGTCACATCCAGCATCTGAAGCAAGTCTGGTACATGTAGTGTCCATCCCTAGATGCATCATCCATCCAGCCAAGGGGCTTAACTCTGAGTGTCAAAAGTGTTTGACGAGTGACCAGGCAATTTTTTTCAAAATATGCAAACTCAGACTATCAGGTAGTATAGGTAGCTAGCTGTCAGTCAAATCAGAAGCTGTTTTTTGTTTAATGATTGACAGGCTGTAAATAATTAATCTTGAATCAGGTAGATTTTTAAGGCATTAACGTAAAACTGGGTGTTTAATGCATTGAGTTCGTCCTTTGATATCAAAGATGATCATAATAACATCTTGACTGTCTGTTTCCATGTTTTATTGTGAATGTGAAGATGGCTGATGAGTCCAATCTTCGCATGGAACGTCCTTCCACAAACTAGACAGGAAGGTCCAAGTGGAGTGTCAACAGATGCTTCTCTCTCTTTACACTTTGTACATTTTTTGTGCTGCCAGGTACATGATCTTTTCCTGGTACAGGTTTGCCCCCATCTTCATGTTTGAGTGCCAGGCATTGTGATCAAGTGCTAAGTTTTCCCATTTTGTAGGTTCTATATGGAGCAGCTTTATGGACACTTTTAGGGAATTTTTGTATCATTTTTTTCTGACGACCTCTGGAAAGTGCACCATTTACTAGCTTGCCGTATAGAAGCTGCTTCAGGAAGTGTGTGTCATGCATTCTACGCCGGCTATTTGTTTGTAAGATTGTATTCTAGTTCAAAACACGACGAATAAGCGTATATTACGCAAATTGTCAAATTTGCAAACTATGCATAACTCACTTGCTATATTTTATTTTGGCAAAGGTAAAAAGGTTTAACATTTGGTCATTAAACATGCACAGGGTTCCCCTTTATTAATAGCAAATATCACGTCATTTCGATCTCGCATTGTGCGATTATTCCTAAAAATAAACTAGAACTGTCCAAACAGGACAAAATACCCCCCCGCCGGGTTTTTCAGAAGTAAGTTTTTCCATAATAAAGATATGTATCACATATGAATTATGAAATTTTTCTTCCACTGACCATGACATTCCTCAAATGACCTTGGGTCAAGGTCATGACACACCCTTGGGTCATGGGAAATCTTTGTGTGAAATGAGAACCTACCAAGTTTATCCATAAGAAAGATATGGACCGGACACAAATTACGAATTTTACTTCCAGTGACCTTGAACTTCTCCAAATGACCTTGGGTCAAGGTCATGACACACCCTTAGGCCATGGGCAATCTTTGGGTGAAATGAGAACCTACCAAGTTTATCTATAAGAAAGGTATGGACCAGAGACAAATTATGAACTTTTTCTTCCAGTGACCTTGAACTTCCAAAAATGACCTTGGGTCAAGGTCATAACACACCCCTGGGTCATGGGCAATCTTTGCATGAAATGAGAACCTACCAAGTTTATCCATAAAAAAGATGTATACCGGACACGAATTATGAACTTTTTCTTCCAGTGACCTTGAACTTCCCCAAATGACCTTGGGTCAAGGTCATGACACACCCTTGGGTCATGGGCAATCTTTGTGTGAAATGAGAACCTACCAAGTTTATCCGTAAGAAAGATATGGACCGGACACGAATTATGAACTTTTTCTTCTGGTGACCTTGAACTTCCCCAAATGACCTTGGGTTTGGTCAATTTTTGAATCATCAGTGGTCCAGCAGATTAAAAAATCTCAGCTGGAATAGTGTCAGCTCCCAGAGCATTGCCTGTTGATATAGCTTTCACACTCTCTCTGGCAGATGGAGGGTCGTCAAGTGCTGTGTCTACTGGGATCTGAGGTTGTCGATTTATGGCATCATTGCTGATTGAAGATGGCGTGTTTAGAACCAAATTGAAATGCTCTGCCCACCTCAAGAATACGGGGCTTAATTGTCAGTTATAATTATGATTCCATCAGCTGAGAGCAGTGTTGATGTACCAGTAGGCTGAGGTCCATACAGCATTCTTATGGCTTGATAAAAGCATTTGGAGTTGTAGGTGTCAGCATAACCCTGAATTTCTTCCGCCTTTTGGCTTAGCCATCTGTCTTTCATATGCCTTAGTTCGGTCTGCACACTCTGCTTCATTTGGTGAAGAACACCTCTATTGGCTGGGGTCTTGTTTTAAAAGTTTTGCTTTAAGAGTCTGTACTTTTTCTTTAAGCAGTTTGTCTATGGCCTCGTTTTTTTCATTAAACCATTCCTGATGTGCATGGTCATTTTAGGACCTAGCGTGTCAAAACATCCAGAGTGTACAGTGTTCGTAAACTCTGCCCAGTCCTGCTCAATGTTTCCAGAGCTCAGAGGCAATAACTCAAGTTTTTTGTCCAAAAGGTCCTCGTAGAACTTGTCATCATATCATCAGGTTTGTCCTGGTTGGGGCATAGCAACTGACAATTGGGCACTTCTCTTGCCTTTTTATTTCAGACCAATCGTCATACCGTTAATCTGGAAATTTTTACGTGGATTTATTTTTGTGAATTTGGGTCAAAAAGCTATTGATTAAATTTTACGCTTCAAAATTTTGCAAATTGTCACTGGCACTAAAAATCACTTAAGATTTTCATATCAGTTTATGTTTCAATTTAGTATGCACAGTTAGAATATCACTAACATACTCGCAACGTGGCAAGAAATTGCCGAATCGCTCCTAAACAATTTTGAAGATAAAAATACTAAAGGATTTGCACTGAAAATAACTTCTAAGTTAATAACAAACCTTTTAGAGGTTGTACATGTATATGCCTTTTAACCTAAAATATACTGTATACAGGGAAATTTTCGCCCCCATTTTATTTTTGCCCCTTTCGCCCTCTCCTTGATTGGGCGAATTTAGAACGGGGCAAATTCAAATTACAACTCATAATTTCTTATTAAACAGAACTATGACTGGGCGAATTTAAGACGGGGCAAAATTGTTAACAAGTTCAAAAGGGCGAAAATAACACGGGGCGAAAATAACCCTGTATACAGTAATCCAAATAAAGACAAAAATATAATTAATTTTCTCAACGTTTGTTTTTTTCTCACATAATTTACATGCCGTGATTACATTTGGAACTCTCTAGTAAAAGCACTGAGCTCGAGTTATCACCCGTGTTGATACATGGTTGGATAAAATAACTGGTCTCTCTATCTTGGCAAAATAATTAAAAAGGGACACACCGTCTCAGTGCTTGTCAAACCATCAGACGATATTGCATATAAAGAGGGCAATTTACACGCAAAGTTAATTAGCTTGTAGTTACATTAGTTTAAACAGGTTTCCTTTTAAAAATGACCAGTGCTTACCGATGCCTATTCACTGACTTAAAAATAGACACCAACTTTCTGAAGAAAAAAATTCTTTCCATGTTGATTTATTTTTAAGAAAAATATTTTTGTGAATGCATTGCACGCGCAAATTTGCTAAAAAATTATCTACAGCAAAAATTTCCAGATTTACGGTAGCGCAGTGGTTATTCCCTTTGGGTAACCATACATACACTCTCATCTGGTTCCTTGTCATCTAATAATTCCAGATCAGAATCACTTGTCAATTCTTGCTCTTCTTCTACAGCTACTGGATGTACAGAGTAACTGAAATCAAAAACATATAAGCTAAATACAATTTATTACAGGATTATATTTATTATATAATTAAAAGAACCTGACTTTATTTCATTGCAACTAAAACAGATTTAAAAATTTCAAATTAATATGACTGGCAATATTCATTTACTTTGTCTGCTTCTCTCTTTGCACTTTAAACTAGGACTTCAGCAAATGAAAACAAGTAATGAGTTGCATCATTTAAGAAATAAGATATCATTTTTTTTTTAGAGTTTCATTGGGATATGACATGAAGTTGGTCACATGATCAAATTCTATAACGCCCAAAGGGTGACGACACAAAAAGCTGATTATTGAAGAATAGACGATAGAAAATCTACACAGTTACAGCAAGTAAAATATGCGTAACAAACAGGTTGGAATAAATATATAGTATATTTTTGCAAGAAAATTTGCCTTTTTGTTCAATACTCTTTTTTACAGAAAGTAAATAATTAGGATAACCATGCTGAAGTGCAACATGTGACTATGTCAATCACATGGCTAATTAGTATAAACCAGTGTCATCTAACATATACATGTATCCCTAGAAGCTTTGTTTGCTAAGGCATAATAATGTGACTCCACTGTAAAACTTTTTCTTTGTACATGTATACAAAATTTAAATACCTGTCTAGATTTATTGTTGGAAATATGTCCCCTTTCTTCTTGTCAGCTTTTTTCCATTTCTGTTTCCTATTCTTCTTAATATTAGCATCTAAATTAAATTTTAAAATATGTAAACGCATACTCAAAACGTATTTTCCCTGCAATGTTTTACTTTCCCATTTTTCCATTTGCTCACCATTTGTTTAAGGTGTGTTCACCTTTTGCTCTCCAGTCAGTTTTGTGTTCATATTGCCCTTGTATTCAACATTCACAAAACATTACTTACCGTTCAGAATTTATTGTCATTCGGAACACTAAAGTGTTAGGACTTATATTTTTGTAGGTAAGTCTTTACAGGTTTTTTTATGTAATACCTGGTAACTAATGTACAGTGTTAGAAGAATCATCATTTTGGAATACAAGATGTGTTTATGAAACACTGATGACCCCATATGGCAACATAGCGAGATTTAAAATTTTCTCAAATGCAAATCAATCATGTTGTTACTCAAAGTAAGACCTTCTCACAAGAAATACAAATGCGAAATATAAAACCCTAGCACCACCTGTTCAAAAGTTATGGTCAAGAAGTAGGTTAACTTTTTTAAAAAGTAGGTCAAACTCCAGGATCAAGGTCAAAGGGTCAAGGTTGTTGGTTTCTAAAGAAAACTCTTCTAATGGGTGTTGTCTTCATCCACTCGATTGACATTGTTTTAATGGTCCCTGAGAAGCTGAGAATCTTTACACAAAGACGGATGAAAAGAGAATTAATGGTAAACTAGTAAGAAACAGAGTAAAAACAATATGCTGTTAAACTTTGTTTCGTAGATGTTATATTCAGTGGTTGGTACACTGTATTTGCTATGGTATGGTACTGTAAATCACTTTTTATTCGCGAGAACTTTATTTTGTCGGAATTACACGAGACAGTATGCTCTCGAAAATTTAATTCTCACGTATATTAGTATTCCTTTGGATTATATTGAGCAAAAACCACAATTCGCGAAAATTTTGTCTCGCTAATCATGAGTCAATGACTATCTCGCAAAAATAAGGTGTCACGAAAATTGAGTGATCTACAGTACACTGTATTGGAGATATCAGTATTTTAGTTACTGAAGTTCTTTCTTTTCCTAAATTGGAGTAGGCTAGAACAAATGGTTTTAATAGTGGTTTTAATAACAATTTCATTCTACCCCCCCCCCCCCCCTTGAAAAGGGGAAGGGTAATTAGTAATCGTTATGTCCGTTCGTCCGTATGTCTAGATGTCCATCTATCTGTTATGCTTTTGGGTACCCATCTCCTATTCGCAACTCCTCTCATACCACTGAATGAAATTTTATGAAACGTTCACAGAATCTTTATTACATATTGCCATTGTGCACCTCCTATTTTACTTTTTGATCTGACACATATTTTGGGTTTCCCATAGCAAAACATGGACATTGCCATTATATTCATATGAAAGGCTGGGGGTTTATTCCCCCCCAAAAAAAAGGGGGAATTTTTATAATTTTGTCTTTGTCACCATTCCCGTACGGTCTGTTTGCTTTGGGGGGGTCACTCATGAAATCCTCCATATAATTGATTTAAATTAAAGCTTTCACTGAGAATTTTGTTAATATTCATGTAAACTTTTTCTTTTTGGCGCTACCGGTTTTAAAACAAAAAATGGGAACTACATTTTTTTCCCAATTTTCCCCTTTTATTGAATATCCCTTCCCCTGAAAAAATTAAAGAATTTCTAATTTTTTATTAAAACCTTGGCCCTTTTCCGCTACCCCTTTAGATTTCAAACAAAACACGACTTTCCATAAATATATGGGGGGAGGGGGTTTTATTTTGAGGAGGAAGATTTTTAGGGAATTCAAAATTTTTCATTGGGAAAACTGGGAATTGTACTTAAAAATAAAACTGACTAATCCCGGAATTTTCTATAAAATTAAATATCTGTTTGAAAAAAGGGAAAAAAACCA